CTCTTTCACGATAATGACATATAGATAATATAACCTTTGCGATTTGTAAAACATTGTTTTCGTATATAATATATTCATGATACAATTATTATTGCAATTATTAATTAGACTTTTGTAAAATATAATGTTATAGGTACTAATCTTTTTAATAATTTTAAGTATATTAACAAATGAATTTTTGAGTTGATAGTTAAATCCTATTTGTTCGTATTAATTAATATAATATAAAAATCATTAGAAAATATATAATCGATTTAAATCGCAAAATAATCATTCCTTTCTCTCTCTCTCTCTCTCTCTCTCTCTTTCTCTTTTGTGTAAGCAAAAAGGACAATAAAAAACAACGAGAGCATGCGACGATGAGCTCCGAATGCATACGTGCGTCGAATGCAATGCTCGGCGTTACTTCGCTAATAAGAGCGGATTCCGCTCGTGCTTGTACTGCGTGTGGATGGATGGATGAGGAAAGAATTTCCAGGGATAGATACTCTCCTCCGTCCATATTTTCTTGCCGAATAGCGAGTGGTTACAAATCGCACAAGGTTTTAAGCTTCTATCTCCGATTCGAATGAAATACCTCGTAAATAATGAAAATTTGAGAATATTTCGAATATTAAAATAATATCCTGAAATGCAAAACGCTTGATTCGCTCGTAAATAATTCACATTATTACGAGAAATATATTCGTCCTAGATATAAAAAATATATATATAATTATTATTTTCGTAAATAGTACTTGACTGAATATTCCTTGCAATTTAGTAATGTTTGTAAAACGTTTAAACATACTTTTGATGAAATCTATATATGTACATTTTCTTATTATTTTTATAAAATTATCTTTCATTTGCAATAAAATACTTTTTAACAATAAAATTTATACCAATTGAAAAGTTGAATAATCCTAAAATATGTTTCTTTGAACGAATCGCATTACAAAGAGATATCAATTGTTAAAAATTTATATTAATGGCACGAATATTCTCCCTATGAAACCATTGTATATCTTTTTGGAAAGAATTTTGTGTGTGTGTGTGTGTGTGTGACACGTTTTTACAAAAACTATTCTCGCCACTTCATAATATGTATATGTATATGTATAAACTCATACGTTCTCTCTATTAGAATGTTACGAACACAGAAATAAAGCTAATCTGTGGATTAAGCACGACGATACATTCGTGAATGCCAATTTACAACGGCACGCGTATGCCAAAACGACAGAGTAACGTGCTTTCCTCTCGAATGCGTACGTTCGGCGTATACGACGAGAGATGTATCAAGTTTAAATTGAATAATGCTTGTTCTGCAAAATGAGCCTCCATCGTCCGATAACGACGGGAATGATAATACGTAATTCAATTAATGTCCCTAGTGCGCGAGAGGTTCGCTCGTTCGAGTTTGCTACATTCCCCAAACTACTCTCGTGCGCGCGTTTGTCTCCACCCTTGTTCCATTGCCGATTTCACGGCTCACCCCTGTTCTCACCAATTCGAAAGCAGAGCGTAATCGGACAGAGGAACGCGCGCATTTTCTCGTAATACAATTCACCTGTACGAACTTTATCGTACGTTCAATTGTTATCTCTCTGTCGACTCTAAGTAAATCCGATAAATTGGTGAAAGCTAAAAACAATTACGAATTTGCTATTTCAATTCAGTTCCTTAGAGTTAAAATATATACGCATCGTAAGATATAAACCAATAATATCCTATTTTTTCATTTATTTTAATTACTTCTATCAAATATTTTAAATAGTTATAACTTTATTATACCCATATGATATTTAAACTAATAATAGTAATAATAATATTAATAATAATAATAGACTAATAATAATAATAGACTAATAATAATAATAATAATAATAATAATAATAATAATAATAATAATAATAATAATAATAATAATAATAATAATAATAATAAAAATAATAATANTAATAATAATAATAATAATAATAATAATAATAATAATAATAATAATAATAATAATAATAATAATAATAATAATAATAAAAATAATAATAATAATAATAATAATAATAATAATAATAATAGACACACTCAAACAAAAACTTGCCGTATATGCAGCACAAGACTAAAAAGATATAACGAATCAAATAAGAGGAAAATCGAAAACAGAACATTCTTAAACAGTGAAAGAACATTCTACAGGAAACTAAACACAGAACAAGAAATAGGATCCACACAACCAACTAAAAAAGAAATAACCACTTTCTGGACACAAACATGGTCAAACACAACAGAACACAACACACATGCAACATGGATAATAGAAGAGAAACAAAAATATGAAGACACACCAGAACAAGCAGAATACAAAATAACAGAAGACGAACTAAAAAAAACAATACGCAGCACACATAACTGGAAACACCCAGAACCAGACCACATACAAAACTACTGGTACAAGAAATTTACAACTACACACCCATACCTAACACAACAGATCAACAAAATAATAGAAGACTCCCAAGAACTCTCGAATTTCCTAACTGAAGGAATCACATTCGCAAAACCCAAAAATCAAAACACGGAAAACCCAGCAAATTACAGACCAATTATACGCCTACCAACACTATACAAAATAATAACAGGTACAATATGCCAGCAAATAGAAACACACCTCATAAAAAACAATATAATCTCAGAGGAACAAAAAGGATGCAAAAGAAACAGCCAAGGATGCAAAGAAAAACTCATCATAGACAGCATAATAATGAACCAGGCAAGAAAACAGCAGCGAAACCTACATACATGTTACATCGATTACAAAAAATCTTTCGATTCAGTCCCACACACATGGCTAATAGAAATTATGAAAATATACAAAATAAACAAACACACACAACAATTCCTAAAGCACACCATGTCAACATGGAGAACCAGAATTATACTAAAAACACCAACGGATACCATAAAAACGAAAGAAATAAAAATCAAAAAAAGCATCTTCCAAGGAGATACATTGAATGCCCTATGGTTCAACATGTGCCTAAACCCACTATCTACAATATTAAACAAAACTAAATACGGCTATCAAATCAGAAATAATAGACAAACATAGTACACAATGAACTATTTAATGTATGTAGATGACATAAAACTATATGCAACAACAGGAACACAATTAAATACACTTCTAAGAATCACAGAAAATTTCACATCTGATATAAAAATGCAATTTGGAATAGACAAATGCAGGACAACACATATTGAAAGAGGACAGTGGATTACAGACGATACACAAAGAACATTACAGAACGAAACACTACAAAACTTAGAAAAACACGAAACATACAAATACCTCGGCTTTGAACAAAATACTAAGATAAACCATACAGAAATTAAAAAATACTTACAAAAACAATACAAACAAAGACTCACAAAAATACTTAAAACCAAACTAAATTCATAAAACCTCGTCAAAGCAATAAACACATACGCAATATCAGTCCTTACATATTCCTTTGGAATCATCAATTGATCAAACACAGACTTAAAAGACACCAATAGAATAACGAGAACACACCTGACAAAGTCATTAAAACTACACCCGAAATCATGTGTAGAGAGATTAACAATAAGTAGAGAAGAAGGTGGAAGGGGAATAATGGACATAAAAGCGTTACACAATAGACAAAAAAACTCCGCAAATACTTCCACACAAAAGAAACACAACTACATGAAGCAGTAACGAAAGTCGACAAAAATTACACACCACTAAACCTATCAACAAGCAATACAGACATAGATAATTATAACGACATATACCATACACAAAGCAAAATAAACGCATGGGCCACAAAACAATTACACGAAAAACACTACTACACCACTACAGACGAAAATATAAACAAAAATGACACATACGAATGGCTAAAAAAAGGACACCTCTTCCCAGAAACCAAGATCAGGTAATCTCAACAAAAAACTACCTCAAATACATAGTAAAAGACATAAACATACAAGATGACAAATGCCGGAAATGTAAATTAGTAGCCGAAACGATAGAACACATAACAGGAGGTTGTAAAATATTAGCAAACACCGAATACACGGAAAGACACAACACGGATGACAAAATCATACATAAAGCAATAGTGAACAAATACAAATTGGAGAACACTACAACACCATACTACAAATACACACCAACAACAATAATAGATAGCGAAAAGTACAAACTATACTGGGACACAACATTGCACACAGACACAACATTACAACAGTAAAATACAACAGACCTGACATGACATTTACAAACAAAGAAGTGAAGACAACATACCTAATAAACATCTCAGTACCAAACGACACTCAACATCACACAGAAATACAGAGAAAAAATAGAAAAATACACACTACTTGCACAAGGAATACACAGAATATGGAAACAAAAAAAGGTGCACATCATTCCTTTCATCATATCTGCAACAGGCATTACACCGAACAATTTTAAACCATATCTCATACAATTACAACTATAGACCCAAATATAAATTAAGAAATACAAAAGGCGGTTATATTAAAAACATGCAACATAACCAGAGCCTTCTTAAATTTAGGAGATTAAAGCAATCAGACCTGGCAAGAGTCCTGTCTGATATGCTGATATGCCCGAGAAATCGGAGAGAAATAATAAAATAAAAAAAATAATAATATATTGAAAAATATGTTTACCTTGATAATTATTGCGTATTTGTCTATGTACGTAGATATAATCGCACGTTAAAATCGTATAAATGCAATACTAATATTACAGTCACGCGATAATGATGCTTTTTGAACGATAAGAACAAAATAATATAATCCTAGAGGTAGAAAAATGAAATGAACAAACATGGAACAAGTATTTCTCTTCAAATGTTATTCGTTTCTTACTATAGATAGCAAAAAATCATGCATCTACTTATTCGATCAGTTTCTTTTTAAAAAGTAAGTACAAATGTATATTCATTTGAATCAAAGTTGAATACCTGTGTGTTTCTCGTATATCCGTATCCCATGAATCTCTCATCGTGAGCTGGCGCAGTATCCTTTGCCACGTAGAACGGCTCGTAAAGGAATTCGAAATTTGTCACGTTGTGACTTACGTAAACTTTTCCGTATTTTACGTTCTCGTAATTTTTGTGACTTGGTGACACGTCCAACACCCACCTGCGAAAATGATCAAATAAAATCAAGCGATTTAATACGAGTAGTATACCAATGTTTTATTTATTATTTGTGGGTAACATCGATCTCGTTTGCAGGATCAAATAAATAAAATGAAATATTTTACCATAGGTCATACCAAGAGAAAATGATCACTTTTTGTTATCAAATTTTTATTACTCTCTAGAACCAATTACTTTATAGGCTTCGGTTTCAAATAAATACATGTAAAAGAATTTTTGAAAATAATAACGTTCGAATATGCAAAAACGCATAATAACTCTCTACATACACGTAACTAACAGGTATATTTTGCTAAAAGTGTGTGTTATATACCGCATTCAACCGATCACTACGTTTTTGTTTATAGAGTGTTCATATATTTATGAAGCATGTATAGGAGAGGAAAAAGTTGAAAATATACTGCAATTTTTCCCGATTTTTTTTCAGTATTTACCGCGTAAACAACACACGGTTATTTGCTAAAATAATAAATTCATTGTAGCTATGTTTTTTACTACAAAATTTTACTTCTTTCAATAAAATCAAAAATACAATTAGTTTGAATACACTGTTTCAAAAATATAACGTTTACAAAAAAGGACAATAATCAGAATAACAATTAATCAGCAATAAACTAAGCCGTGCGTATCGTTCTTGTACTACAGTCGCCTAATGCATGTTTAGGAACTTGTTAAGGGTGTTTCTTTAGCGGCATCTCTAACGATCAAATGAGATCTAGAAATCCTGCATTAGACAGAAATCAATATAAATGCAGAAGTAACATAAACTGCCAATTAGTCAATCCTTACAATTGATTTCCAATTACGAACTAATTTTACAGAAATAATCAGATAATGGAGAGAGATAGAAATGTACCATTTCGATTAATAAAATACAATCAATTACATTTTAATTCCAAGAACAGTGATATATAATCCATTAAAAAAGATGAATAAAAATAAAAAGTACTTATAGTATTTAAAAGTACTTTAACAATCTTAAATATTATAAAATTAAATAATACTTGCCTTGTGAAGTTTGTGGCAAATTGATTGTGGATGAAAACCTTTTGATGAAAGGGTCTGGCAAGGCCTTTCCTAGCGAATCTGACCAAGTCTGATTTATCGGTTGGAAACCAAACACGCAAGTCTAGTTCGTACGTAGGTATGACGTAGGCGCACTTGTCGCAGTTCTCATTCTTAAGGAAGTTGTCTAAAGCACCGGTTAAATTGGGGCTTGGTATGATGTCGACGTCCGTTAAGAAAACGTAATCGGATTGGCAATTCTTCCTAGCTAGATTCCGCATGTGATTTTGGGGATAAACGTTTCGCATTCTCCAGTTCGTTTGTTCGACGGAAATACCGGATACGAGTTCGTTTAGAGTAGCTTCCGGTTTGGCACAATCAATGATTTCGGGTAAGGTGAAAGCACGGGGTTGTTTCTTGGGCGGTCTGACCTTTGGCACGGCCAAAGAAAAAGATATCCTTTCGCGTACAGGTTCGTAACACTTTTTAAGATAAAGCAAATACTTTTGCAGAACTTCAAATTCTTCATCACCGGCTACGTACAAAGCAACGGACATCGGCCCGGTCCACTGATGAGCAACTTGAACAATTGAGTGTAATTTTTCAACAGAACTCTGCGTAGCCAAACAAACTCGATATGTCTGCGAGAGCTCAGAGAATCTCGAACCGACAAAGATCGAGTCAAAAGTTTTGAAAAGCCTACGGGCATCCCATCTGCCTAGTGTCACGTCGAGCTTAAGCCTGTCAGCTGCTGTATTTCGATAATCCCGCGTAGCACAATCTTCCTGTTGCTCCTTGAGCAGGGTACCGAGATTCCAATCCGTAACGGCATTTATCTCGAGTTCTCGACCTATCGAATTCTGAACACAAGTTTCCGATTGTAGTAGTAAGAAGGTCAGCAGCATATTGGACAGCGCCAAAACGATCACACTGGTTAAACTGAAGTTCCATGGTTGACATCGCAACTACAATCAAAAATATCAAATACGATTGTATCTTAAGACTTCAAATGTCTAATTCTATTTATACACGTTTTATTAAAATCATTCTTATAATTTGTTGTTTACAGTTGCGTTTGAGTTTTTAGATGACAAAAAAGAAAATACAAAAAAAAACTTCTTAATAATACCTTCCAAACCGTTTTACATTTCTAATTACTCGACAGCAAGTTTCTTATCGGTAACAAGGTACGATGCAAAAAGCATTAGGAGTCTAAAACTTTAGTTCAATTGCTCAATGCACTCGCGGGAACAATGTGTTATATCGTTAGGATGTAAGTATAAACACGGCATGTAAGTAAGTAACCGATTTAAGTTACGTAGAACTACTGAAGTAAAGGCTCGTCTAACAGTTTAGATATCAATAATAAGTTTATAGAATGCCTTTCTCAGACGCACTACTCGTGCCAGAATATAACAGTCGAAAGATATCTCGGAACAAAACCCGAGAGATAAATCGTTTTTTGCTTTTCTCTCTGCTAGTACTTTTGCATTCTATTGGATACCCCTAGGCTAGAATGTATCAAGAAACAGACGATAAAGATGAAAAATAGTTAAGCGTTTCTACTTTAACAACCACAACCAACGTGCAAATGAGGACATTGAGTACTTTTTATTTTATATCAAGATTCAGCTTACGATGTAGTTATAATAATATTACAATGACAATCAATTTTATTTATCTCTTTTTAAACTAAATAATTCTTTACTCTCAAACAAGTAGAAACAAGTTTGTATTTCCAACTCGATGATTTGCTACGATTAAACGTTATTAAACATATTCGAATAGATTCTATTCAGTAATAATAAATTAATATTGGAATATCGACTATTGAACATTCATAAACGAGATGATTATTTCGAAATCATACGAAAAGATAAATGTAACTACATACGTGAATACATACATTTGTGTTTCTATACCCGATGATTTATGGTACTTGTAATAACGGCGCAATTATAGTGCTGAACGGAAGAAACAGATTGTAGGTATTGTATAGTATCCACCAAAGTGCTCCATGGAAGTCCAATGGGACAGCCGACAAAATTTCACTTGGATATAGTACCCGAAACGATAATGGACCGTATGACTTCCTGGACCTGTTAAAATCAAGCTGCCGTACTGAAAGAGGTCTCTCTGCAGTAACGCGTTAGATGAACCGCACGGCTTAGGACAATGGACTTGGCATCGCCCTTTAGGGTCATTCCGGTAGACGTACCAATCGCATAAAGAGAAGTCCTAGTGCGTGCAATTAAGACCAGGAATATTCCTGTTAAATCTAAAGCTATCAAAAGTCAACAAAATATTTGAAACTATCATTCAGTTCATAACGAGAGCTAATAGAATACACAACTAATGTATACATAGATACGTATAAAATTCTGTATTAAAAATAAAGACTTGAAAGGTTAATCAATGGTAAAAATTTTTTATACAAGAAATAGACCTTTCTGCCATGAAAGGACAATCGCACAACAACTGATGAGTTTATTATTTATTTTTTATTTAATCTGTTTGTTACAAGTGTTACTTATAGTTAGTTGACTAGATGTACAAGAAATAAAATGTATCATGTGTAAGTACTTCTATTTTTTGGGTTAATTAGAAAAATATTATGTAAAAAATATACAATGTTTATTATTAGATATTACGTTATAAGATATACAAAATATATATACAGGGTGGGGCAATATCTCTGTCTAGTTAGAATATTGTCGTTGTTTATAACAATATGAAAAATTTTATGTACGCAACTTACACGGCATGATGAGGGGCATTTATTGGCTTGAACGTTTTTTGAGTGGGTGGAAGCATAGAGGAGATTTCAAGGTCATCTGCATTTTTTTAAATGATTTTTTTTTTTTTTTAATAGGATATGATGACAAATGTTGAGACGAATTCTACGAGCTCTATTATTTAAGGTCATGCGAGGTCAAATGTGGTAGAAAATAAAGTTTCTTACATTACAGAAGATGCGCAATACAAATTTTTGAAGGAAATTAACTGCTCTATAAAAATAGTGTCTTATGTTTTGGCGATTAAATTAAGCGTTCAAAAGATATTCAGAGACAAAAATCACTACACATGAAAGTTTGATGATGAATATCTTTTGAACACTTAATTTAATCGCCAAAACATAAGACACCATTTTTATAGAGCAGTTAATTTCCTACAAAAATTTGTATTGTGCACTTTTTAATAGTCATTTATTGTCGAGTTATAAAATTCATAAGCAAAAATGAGATTTGTCTAAAAATCATGAAATTTAAATCTTCAATATCATTCAAATGGTGAGGTTTACGGAAAAAGTATAAGATACCTTTTTTGTAGAGCATTAAATTTCCTACAAAATTCGTCTGGAACATTTTTCTTTACAATCAATAAATAACGAGGTATGAATTTTAATCTATTGGACTGAAAAAAAAATAAAAAACTGCGATGCGGAGGATCTTCCTATTAAAATTAAGAGCTCATATTGGGTGAGAATTCTTTTAAGGTGTCTAGGAACCCATTTTTGCGTGGCACTTGAAAAAAAAATAAGTCATTTTTTTGACCCACCCTAATATATATATAAGTGTATGATTCTAATTTTTAAACGAGAAAATTTTTATTTTCAAACTTTGCAGTAACAAAATAAAAAGGGGGTAAAAGATGTTCTCATGTCCGTTGCAGAGATTTTTCCAACGACTCGACTTTGCGTGCAACCATGCGAAGTAGTGTAAAATGCGAGACGTTGAGACAAAGTGTCACGCGAAATAAAAACCTTCTCGTCCTCGGAGAATTCAACAAAGGTCCGGAAAGGACGTGTGTTTCTCATCAAGTGTACACAGATTTATTAACTTGTCGTGACTCTACCAAGAATAAAGAGGAACAAAGACTGGAATTAGAAAAACGACACAGGGACATGTGTTCAGCTTACAACATATAATTCACATTCTAAAACTCTTTATTGAGACTCTTAATCATGAACAATTTTCAACATTATTATTTCTTATTTTATTTCAAAAAATTATGTTTCATTAATAATGTAAGTCTACCTTCATAATTCGATTAGAGAATAATATTAATTCACTTTTAAGGGAACTACTATAGAATTGATTGAATAATATTTCAAACGATAAAGAAGACGTTCAAGAACGTAAAATTGCAAAATAAAGTTACCCTTAACTATACTCCAAATAATATATTCCTATTGATATTATTACTATCTTCGAAGAATAACACGTGAAAACGAGATTCAGCATATTGCCTTCATGATTCGAATATTTTGAATAACACACGAATGGGACAATGAACTCAAATACTCTTGGAATCAAATACGTCCCATTGACGTAATTGGCAAGGAGTGTGAGAAACACGGCCTAATTCTGTCGTAGAACATAGGAAAGCCACCGATGAGCCAAGCATAAGCGCATCAAACGCATCAAGTGCCAACAGACTGTACACCAGTACCGATGACCTTTACCATTACACATACCTCTCCTAGCAGCCCATAGCCAAGCAGAGAATGAACAAGTATCTCTTGCCTCTTCCTATCATTCGATATAGCTATTTCTAAACACGTATGATTATCACTGTTACTGTTTCTCGTACTATTACTGGCACTATTCCGTACCGTTCTTGGTGTAACACCCTGGTTCAATCGAACGCAAGAGAAAGAGAAAGAGAGATAGTAGATAGGAGAACAGCGTGATTGATTATGCGAGTACAGTGTTATCACCGATTCGAACTAGTTCCTACGTTCCACCGTAAACGGGTGGGAGTTACACAGTTAACCCATTATCAAATTGTGTATTCTCGGATTTTCATTGCACATTCAAGCCTCGAAACCACAGCCTATCTCGTACAAGGTAGGAAATACAAGGACTCATTTCTCGATTGACTTGCCTTTTCTATGTACGTTATTCACAGGTATATGTATAGAAAATCTTATGCTCAAAATAGCTTACGATATTTATTTTCAAAAACACACCTGTTGAACATGATCACTAAAATGTACATACAACCTGTCAGAAAGGATTTATAAGCTACGAAAATATAAGTACTGTAGGGAAAAAACTAGTATTCAGTTCTTTTTTTTATATTTTATTTTCTGGAAAAGGAAACTTTATTCAGAAACTAAAAGAAAAGATTAGGAGGGCCATAAAACCATAAACAAACCTAAGAATTATCGAGATATATTGGTGCGATGAAAACCCTTTGTGTGGTGTCGGGACCTTTGAGGAGTTTCAGATTCCTATCTAAGCATGTACGATACCATAAATAAATAACATTCCAATATTCTAGATCAAATTTCTTTATGTATAGTTTCCACTACCAAAAAAAACATAGGCTGTACCCATCGGTGGACTATGAGGTGGATCCTTATGCTATTGGTCAATAAGATTCATAATCTCCTTCCCTCTCCAAAGGGGTGTAGCTCATTTCTGATATAAATATGTGGAAAGAAGTAAGAAAGTGTTCTTAGTTGGTCAGTCCTTAGTGCTCAGTCTGTATCAGTCCTTAGTCAGTCCTCAGTTAGTCCGTCTGTATCTGTCTGTGTGTTATCTGTTATTCTGCAAATCAGTCAGTCGGTCTTATATTTGTAACCCTTTTGTATTCTGTATTTTTGTAACCATGTCACTTTTTGTAAACTTATGTTAATACCGCTCGACATCACATCATCATAATTTAATAAACTATATTATATCATCTTCAGTTTATATATTTTTCTTTATCTGAACCTCCACAGTACATTCGATGATATTTGATATTTGTATCTATTAAATCTTAATCCTCGTATTTACATAAAGTAATTTATTTTATCATCTTTCTTTTTTCATTTTATTTCTAGTTTAATGATCATTGATTTTCAATTCAGCATTCTTCAATTTTAAAGCAAAATGTGTATATTCCATAAGTATAGTAACGTTGATCGTTTTGATAGAATGGACAATTATTGCTCTACGGTGAAACGATTCTTTAT